ATTTGAAATAGCTTAAGTACTCAGGAATAGATCACAAAAGCCAAGAAAGCACCAAGGATCAGATGTTGCCTTTGATACACATGCACCTCCCACTAATGTCAGCCACAGATATATGCCTGTAAGGACAGAATGCAGCCCTAATTGTCTCTCTAATCTTGTCCTGCGTATGCATGTCTGAATGTGGTCCTGCTAATGAGCGAGTGATGCAAACAACTCCGTGGTTGTGGACTTCAGTGGAACCACAGTTTGGCCCAAAATGGGCATGGGCCCAACACTTATAAATTCACAAGCAGATCAGAGCTTAACAGGTGAACTTTGTAAGGTACATATCCATGTCTTGTACAGGCAAAATGCCATATTTTTGCATGTCACTATGCTGCTATGCTAGCAGCTTCACTAAATACAAAAATAAATGCTGCTCAGACAGACATTCCAATCTGCACAATCTATGGCTACATGCCCATTTTGTACCAAAGTCTGATCTTACTGACCACAAACACCAGAGTTTGGCTTTTTCTGTGGGCTCTTTTAATATTTTTCTACAGAAGGGATTTGCTGTGACACCAAAAAATACAAGCTGACTTAAATACTCAGTACGGTTCAGAACATTCCATCCTTAATTCTCCTTATTTTAGCTTTGTTTTGTCAACTCTATGGTTGCTGTATGGCAATTTCTGGAAGATAGATTTCAGCCTCTTTCTGGCTCTCCTTTTCCTTGAGGTTTAATAGTTTAGGGTTTTAAGAGTTTCTGATGTTTTTCTCATTTTCACTAGTCCTGGAAAAGTATTTTAAACACACCTTAGGCAAATATTTTGCTTTCATTCATATCTATAGCTGCTCTTTCACAGCTGCTCAAGTCCACCTTGAAAAAAAATATAGATATTAAATCATCTCCCATACAAACTCCAGTCTTGCAAGAACTAAGCATTAATAAAACTACTTTGGAGACAGGCTTAGCAAAATACTTCTATATAAAGTACCCTAGGGTAACATTTTAGCACATTTCATATTATTCTCAGAAGGTCAGTGATCTGTGCTAATCAGAACAGCTTGTGGGACTAACTCCCCAGCAAGGTGCAAACATGGCTCTGTTAGCACTATGTGGTGATATATAATAAATGTGTAGTATTTCCATACACTTCTGGAGATAAAGAGTATATCTAGAAAAGAGGGACATAAAGCAGTTACACCCATGTATACATTTGCAGTAGTAATTATAGTTGTAGTAATAGTAGTAGTAGTAATAATTATAGTTGACTATTGCCTTTTGCCCCATGATCCTAAAGTGCTGATACATACGTATAGTATCTGTGAAATGTAGCCATCTGGTACTGAACATGCTGCACAAGGACACAGGGTCAAATCCTCTCCCTTACAAAGAGAGCTTGAGGAATATATGCAGGTGGGTTGCTTTTTCTTTTTCCTTTAAAGCTTGCAGCCAAAAAGCTTTCCCTTCCTTCATTCCTGTCTTGTAAACTGCACAAGACTCAGTCAGTCTCAGCAGGACGAAGGCCGAGTCAACACTTTTAAAAATGTAATTCAGGGGAGCCTAATGACTTTAAAAAAAGCTGATGCTGAGGCCTTAAGCCATTTGCTCCAGGTTTGAAGGTCTGAGACTATTTCCTACCTGATACATTTAGAACTAGATTCTGGCTACCTCTAGGTTGGAGGACCTGATTAGACTTACTTAGGTTTTTGCAATCATATCACGCAGATCCGGATGACAGGCTTTTGAAAAAAAAAAAAACTGTGGCTAATCTACATTAACTTATCAGCACTATTGGAGCTGCACTGTTTCTATAACAGTCATGGGAGAAGTCCCTAAAACCTTTGATATAAGACAGATCCATTGACCCTCTTCACCAAAAACTTAAGGACCTGTATTTCATCAACTATTTAGTAGGCCTGTGCGAAGTGAAAAGTACTCGCTTTGGATTCGGCTGATTCAGAGGTACAGTGATTTGATTCGGTGATTCAAATCACTGTCCTGATTTGGTTTGGGCCGAATCTTTTCCAAATCAATTCAGATGCTTCCAGTTTGATTCGAAGCTTTTGACTGGTCTCCTGATTCGATTTGGATTTGAAGATTTGGCTGCTGAATCGGGCCAAATCTTCTCTGACTCGAATTGGCTACCAAAGCTCTGCACAGCCCTACTATTTAGTTGCCTGAATGGTAACAAAAAAGGAAACTATACTGTTAAAACAGGGCTGAATTATTTTTTACCTCCAAATTGGCAGATCTTGTTCATACATCCTCACTAACAGTAAAATATAGCTCTAGACTGAATTCATTAGCCAGATCTACAATAGCAATGGGAGAAGATGGCATTGTGCCCTAACAGAAGTTGAAGGTATTTAGTCTGAAGCAAGGCAGAAGGCTTGAATCAGAGAGGATGATCAGAGATGCATCTGAAGAGGTGAGCTCTTGCTCAAAGAAGCTTATGCATCTCTGTTTCTCAGTTAGTCTATAAGGTGCATCTTTGCCTTGCCTTCTGTCTCACGAGTTGTTCAGCTTCTTGCAGGGCTGTGTCCTAATTGATTGCAAAGCGATCATATTAAACTTAAGATGCTGTAGGTTGCACTATTAATTTGTCATTATTTCTGTCAATTTCAGTTAGACCAAGTAAGATGATACTTAGGTTTTCACCTGGAATAAAGGAGTATTTTGCTTGAAATCCCTTTCCTTCTAGTTCCTCATCTGAAGTAAACTTGATCCACATAAACCTCCCTGTTGATCTAATTAGTGCAGGACTTTTCAGACCACAATATCGATCGATGAGGGGGGAGAAACCAAAAGGTCCATCTCGAACCTCCAGGTGATCAAATCGACATTCAAACGAGGGTTCTATATAATAAGGTTCATCAAAGGTCAACTCAATTCTTTGGCGTGGAGCAGCTACAACACAAAAATGTCAGCACAACATTAATTGAAGATCTATAAAGCAGATACTGGGAAGTGAAATAATGAAGAGACAACCCCCCAAAGTAGCAAGGTAAAAACCAGAGGCACTTGGCACTTCTTAAAATAATATATTTTAAGCCTGCTGCAGTAACTTAGACATGCTCTATAAATCAGAGTGACACAACCATATGGAAGTCATTGTTTAATCAGGTTTTTAAATTATGGTTTTATTATTTTCTACTTTTCATTAAATATCACAATTCAAAAGACCAAAACATGAAAATTATAGTTAAAATTACTGTGCATCATAGAGCAGGGGGTAGCAGCCTACAGCCAGATCTGGGCCATGAAAAGGTTGCGTCAAGCCTGGGAAGGTCCAACCCAGTATGGGGTGGCATGGATCTGCACTGAAATGCCTGTTTCTTCCACAGCCCTCCCTTTTGATTTCTTGCATCTGTGCTTAACCCTGGCGCAGCAAAGGTAAGCACCAGTGGCTTGAGCTCTCCAGAGGGGTAGAGCTTGTCAATCCCAGACAGAGCACAGCACTGCATGCAAAAACCATTTTTATTCTAGGAGCATAAGCCTAGAAGTGGGGTCTTGGACCTCCAAGTCCTGTTCCCTCTGTCAGCAGGCAATCATCAACCCAAGAAATCCCCATATTCACCATTTCAAACCCACACAATCAGCTACAAGACAATACCCAAAACACTAAGAACAACCTATAATATGCCAGGTAGAAAAGCAGCAGAGACAAGGGCACTGACAATGAACTGCTACTGAAAGGATGGGGAAGTAGTTTGTTAGAAGACGCTCAGAAGTTGCTACAGAGGAAAACAACCCCCGCTCCCCATCTCTCCCATGGCTCCTGCCAATCTAAACTTGGGGAAAAATTCTTTCCTGACCCCAAGTTTGGCATTTGGTATGACTGTGAGCAGGGAATTCCTTTATCTAGGAATCTCTGGATTTTCAATAACATTATAAGTACTGCTTATTAACTGTAAAAATCAAATCAATACCTTAAACTAGTTGGGGATACCACAAACAAGTCAAGGAGGAGAAGTCCAAAAGCAGAGGAGAAGAGAGTCAAGGAGGGAGAAGACAAAGGAGGCAGGGGGAAGGAGACTGGGACTGACCCCGAGCCATTTCATGTTTTCTAGATAAAGTCTAATTTTTTTTTTTTTTAAAAATGGAATCCAAATTTCTTCATATGCATGCAGTTGAATATGCCTCTCAAAAGCCTCCTTATAATTGTAGGTACTATTTAAACTCTTTCAAAGATTCATCACACACCTATTGTGTGTGTATACATTTAGCATTCAAATATTCTAAGAAGTTTGATCCAAAGTCCACAGGAGTCGGACTCCCATGGACTGGATCAGGCCCTAAGGCCTAGTGTAGGTATGTGTCAATATACAGGTTTGGCCTTGGCACTCATTTTTATGAACTGGCTTTATGCAACTACTGTTCAGTGGTTTAATGTTCCTTGTTCTAGGAGTGTTTTATTGCATACAAATTGTTTAGACATAAAATTGTGGGTGCTGCATCCAGAAGTTTGAGTGCTTTCCTTGCCCAACCTAATGCCAGCTGAAGTGAATTGAAGCACGACTAGTACAGCCACAAGGGACTTTACTCACTGTAACAAAACAACATATATATTTTTAACAGTTTAACTTTGATCACATTCAACACCAAGAAATCAACACAATGAAAGAGAGAGTGCAATACCTTCTAAAATGTAGATACACTCCTGGTTTGGCGGATATATGTCAGGATAATTTGGGGAAGCAAAATGTCCTCCATTACTTGTCCTAACCCAGTTATCACATTGGGTGGGCGGAATGTGGTTTCCTCCAATATTTTGTCCACCTTAAAATAAAACAAAACACCAAGATTCTGACCCCAGTACAAAAAAGTGACTTTGCAAACAAGCAGCCATTGCTTTCTTTTCAGACACTGTTCTTGGTGTGATGCATCCTGAAAAGACCACTGTTTTGGAGTATCAGGTCTTCAGAGTGACAGTTTAAGGTGGGTAGTAGGGCTGTGAGAAATAGCACCATTTCATTTCGACTTCCGTTTCACTGTTTCAACAGGACAGCGTTTCATTTCGAGTTTCGTTTAGTTTCGAAAGCACTGTTCAATTTTGTTTTGTCGAAACTGTTTTGCTGTTTCAATGTTTCGTCCATAGACTATAATGGGGAAGCACAAAACTGCCTATAGCTTTGTCATTCCTTGCCTGATTCTGATGAAGCTTGCAGGGAGGGTAGCCTCTTTTGAGACCATCAAGCCTGCCAGGTTTCAAGGAGGTAGGTGCAGGGGTTTCTGGGAAACAGCACATCAAGCTTCTGACAAGCAAAACTTGTGACGTGACTGTGTGTGTTAAGGTGCAGCTGTTTTTCCATCCCTCCCCCAGAGCACTGGGATGGGAAGGGACCTCAGCGAAGGATCATAGTCACTGGCCAGCTACAGTCAATATGAGAGCAGTCCTTTTCCCCCCTTCCCCCTCCTTAGTTTCTGTTTAGCTGCAAGCAAGCCCAGCTTAGAACCTCGAAACATTTTGAGTGCCCTCATTAGTTTTGAGGCTGCTTCAAAGCCTTTCGTTTTGATTTTCCTATTTTGAGCTCGAAATGAGTTGAAACAGCATCAAAATGAAACACCCGTTGAAATTTTGCAGAGCCCCCGTGGGTTCCCCCAGGGAACCTGAATTAAAGATTACAATCTAATTGAGCCTGTGCAAGTTTCCCAGTCAGATAGGGACTGCTGCATTGAAAACCACATCACATTCGGAACTGGATGTAAGGTGGGTGCCTTACCATGGTGTGAGGAATATAGGAATTAACAACCATTCAAAATAATTATTATGTTATTCAGATGATAGGCAGAGTAATGCTAATTTCATATTGTTATTTGATCCAATCTCAAAGAAAAACTGTTAAAACATAAGATCAATAGGACAATGGAACAAGTTGCCTTGGGAAGTTGTGGAATCTATTTCAGCTGGAGGTTTTCAAGGAAGAGGCTGGATAGGCACCTGTCTGGGATGGTTTAGGAACAGCAAAGCCTGCATCCATACATATTAGGTGGATTGGTTGATCTTTGAGGTTCCTTGCAACCTAAGTCTAGCTTAAAAAATGGATGAAAATTTTGAAAAAGCAATGGGCTAAGTACATAAAAGAAGGAAAAGGAACAGAGCAAAATGTGGGAAGAAAGTTAAATAAAGAATGCATCTTTGGGCACTGCCAACTCTTAAGAATCCCAGTAATACTAAAAAAGGTGCAGTTTCAGGCCTACAGAGGTCCTGCATGGAGGAGGAAAATAAGAAATGTATGAATACAGAGAAAGGAATGTAAGGGTTTAATGAACAGCTGTGCTCTGGAAGGATGAGCAAAATGGGACACGGTCAGTAAGTGATGGGAAGGGAGGTGGCTCATGGAGGTGTACAGGGACTGGAGATAGGCCATGGAGTAAAAACGGTTGAGACTTCTTGCACTAGAATTTTTAGATTTTTTTTACAAGTTATTACTAAACATGGTAATATTCATTAACTAAATAACAATAATTAGTAGAAGGAATACTGTACTGTCCAGGGCCTCAATTAAGATCAAGGTCCCATTGTGTTAGACACTGTACCAACATTCAGAAAAAATTATCCCTGCCATGAGCTTATTTCAGATGACAAACGAGGGACCAGTCTGGATCAGGATGCCAGGAGCTATGCCGTACAGCAAGGGCCTTCCAGGCACACATTTCCCTACGTATGGAGAAAGAGAATGGGAATAGTGCCATCTCTGACATGCCAAACAACAGACATCCCTCTGTGGGGTCTGCAGGCTTGGAAGGAAGGAGGGCATAGGAAAATTGGTTTCTATTAAATCGTTCCTGGTCTCACACTCTTAATGTACACGTGCAGTTTACCTTACAGACTGGAGAATTATTCCTTGAGAGAAGTTTCATGGTGATAAAAGTTTTCTGGGAGTCTCTAGTGGCTTCTTCCAAGATGCAATAGAACCTCTAGGTGCTGAGCGTGTACAGTGACTTGTGCAGAAAATATTAAAGGAAATTTTGTCATCTACTTCTCTCCCCTTTTGAAACCATTTGCTGCCTTCCCCACCTCCTGAATGGAGATTAGCCCGTAAAATTTTGTAATAGAGACATATGAAACATGTGGAGAAGCATGCTGTCAGATACAGAAAACAAAGGATTCCGCGGGGGTTTGTTCCACCTAGAAGGGAGAAACCAATCTGGAGTGCAAAAAGATTTTGTTATGTTGCCATTTACATCTTTTCTTTAATCTGGTAGTTTTGTTAATTTGGATCAAAATAAGGGAAAAATAGGGGGAACAGTCCAGGGTAAATGTTAATAACTGAATTGCTGCCAGTGCAAGTAGAATATTTTAGCAGAACTGCTGTTATCTTGCTTAGCTTATTTTAAATGACAAAACTGTTACTTTTCTGTAAAAAAAAAGTCAACATGCCAGTTGGTATTGTACCTTGTGTCTTCTGTGCCACAGCAATCCCTTCCACAACGAGCATTGTTATTAACAACACTGGTGAAAGAAACAGAAGAGAAAATATCAGTAATACAACAAAAACCAGAGGCCCCTTTCTTGTAGTCCTCACTCAAGGCAAGCTCCTCACATGGCTCCAAAACAGAGCAGTAAAAATACTCAAGAATTAAAACTAAAATGATTTAAGTTCTTAAGAAGCTTAATGTTTATAAGCACTATTGGAATTAAAGTCCTGATGACTGGCATCCTCCACTGTTTCCTGAAGTACACAGTCCACCGCTAGGTGGACTGCTTACCTTTGCTGCCTTGCCAGTGTATTTCAGTACTTGAGCTAGAGATGAACTCTAACAAGAAGGTAATACAGCTTCCACATTTCAAACCTCATCTCTCTGTTGAGACGTTCAATAAGCACATTAATTTTAGTAGCAGATTGGCGAGTCCTCTAGGAATTGGAATAAGACCATCCAATTGTGCACTGGGTTTTACTATAGAATTGTACAGTTACAGTGGTTACAGTGGAATGATTTTAAATTTGTAATAGCGAGCATGTACATGCTTGCTCTCCTGGCTACTGTAATTTAGTTTAACATGTCCACTTATTTTTTCCCTCCAACCACTGTAATACCAGTGTATTGGGGATACATCTGTCACAGGACACTGAAGGAGGTGGTTATAACAGCAGTGACCCATTACCAAGCAAAAGGGCTTGACTTTTTTTTTTTTTTTTTTTTTTTTTTTTAACGGAAGCCCTATAAATTTGCAGATATTTCATAAAATTAATTAGCATCTTCCTCGCATGACATCATTATTTTCTCAAAACTAGAAAAGCCTTCGTATTGTTGGATTGCACCTTTATATAAAAAACTCCTGTGTTTCTACAATTACAAGACTGCAGTAGCTCACAAAAGGGAATTCAAAGTACAGGATATGCTGCACAATCTGGTCACTGAAGGGATTGTAAGAGCACTGTGGGACTACCCTGGGAGGACTTATTGCAATGATATAGCCACAAGGGCAGCAATTTCTGTCTAAACCAGCTCTGTAATGGTACAGAATAAGATGACGCAGGATCTAGCGGTGGAGAGCCTGTTTTGAGCAGGTGCAAGTGCTAGGATTCTGGCAACCACTGTGCCCCATTCCAAAGCACTCTTATATACCACTGAGTTGTCTTCCTAGCATGGCAGATGCTTGCAAATGTCAGCATTTTCTAAATATGACCTGCCTAATGAACATTTTTATATAGTCCTGATAACTGTTTTTGAGGATGATGAACCTTTGCAATTCACATTGTTCATCTGTGGGCTTCAACTTTTCCTGTGCATTGAGCTGCAACCTGAGCATTAACAGCACCCATGGAAAAAAAGATTGTTTTCACCACTTTTCACTGCATGCCTGACTGGGGTGAAGGCTCTGGTCCTCCACACAGTGTTACCTCTCAGAGGCTGGAGGATCAGGATGACTCAGGAGGAATATTCCCAAACGCATTCCAAATCCCAAGAATCTTAGCTAAAACAAAACATCTTTTAAAAAGTGTCTGGAGCAGAGGGGGAATCCTGCCTCTTTTCCAAAGCCAGATTATAATTCAGCCTGACAGGGCACAGCTTCACGGTTGTAGAGCAGGGATTTCAACTGGCATTCTCCATGTCAGCACTTGTAGGTTCAGGAGCTCTCCTCTTATTCCCCCTGCAGTGCTTTACAAGGCTGCCAGTTACAGCCTTTGAGCCCTTCTAAGCGGGCAGGATTGGGCTTGCATTGCCTGGCAGGCAAGCTATATAAGCATCCTAGTTTGTCTTCATAGCACCTTATTGTATGCTATGCCCCCTATAGCATCACTACAATGTTCCAGTTGTTTTCACAATATGCCTCTCTACTGTCCCTTTCCATTTCCTGACCACATTAACATAACTTCCATAAAGTTACCTGCTTTTCCACACAGACAGTTGTTTTCTATCCTACTAAGTTGGTTCGTTAACGTGCATGGCCTTTGTATTCCAAACTGACTTATGGATCTTTCAAACAAGGGTAACACTCCTAGAGGCATCTCTGCTTTCCCTGGGTTAATTGTCAGACAATAGATAAGACTCAGCAAGAGCCTTGAAATCCCCACATGTATAATAATTGCAGATTTTCATTAATGCTAATCTATAGCAAATATGATTTTCCCAACAGATGGTATCCCATCTGTTACAGAAGGTAAAAACCCCTTGATTATTACTAACTTGCCCTGGGCTTGGGAAGACCTCAGAGAGAAAAAAGGGTCCAGTGACTTTATAAATCTCCAGAGCCATGCTGTTCTACTAGTTAATCATTGCCAAAACAAGAGCATATATTGACATACAATCAATATCTTAATGTTTACAATTGTTGATGGAGTGACATTTACTGTTATGAATTCTTTTTTTTTTTTTTTTTTTAAAGATTGTGGGTCTTTTTTTAATCTCTTTAAACTTACAAAATTCAAGGATCTGTGTGCATATTCATAGAGTAACTAATCATAATGCATGTTTTGTTCCCATGGTTGATATAAAGAAAAAGTTCATTATGTTACCAGTTTTTCCCATAAGGAAGCTTTATCACTGCTGCAAAATTATCTTGCTTTTTCTCCATTCGCTGCTCCATTGGGAAATGGAGCAAGAACCTGAAGGTGGCTTTTATAGCTGAATTGAGTGCAGTTGCCCAATTCCACGTAAATAATATATCAATACATTATGCCACGGGTTTGCATCTTCCTTAAGAGCTGCAGCATGTCTGACCTCTGCTCCGTAACAATGAAGCACTCTCAAAGAAATCAAATTATACCAGCTTTCATACCTTTGTACTGCTTTCAATAGTACAAAATTGGAAAGATCTTAAACAGAATGGATCATTTATAATTATACAAATACAGAGATTGTTCATGCAGGTAACAATATTTTAGACAGCCAGTCACCTCCAAATGACAATATGTTCACCTTTTTTAGTAGAGATACCTACCAGGGCTGTCATCTTTTTAACGTATTTTCCCCTCCCAATTAAAAAAACCCCAACTCAGTAGGTGTCGATATTTATTCCAATATTACTGCTCACTAGCCTTTCAAATAGAGACAAAGCCATGCTATATTTCAGTAACAGTAGCCAGTGATTTCCCTTCTTGAAATGATGCAGCCACAGAAACAAACCTCCTAGAGGATTTTCAAAAATCTGATTGGCTTTTACTAAAATGCATGCTGATACTAAAAATAGTTGAGAGGTGTGCGCAGTATGTGTATAAATGCAACAGAACAGCCTGCAATTCCTACAGAACAGCACAGACAAATAGCAGATAAGCAGGCAATTACAGCAGATAAATGGTTTAGATATTTGTCTACTTTTACTGTAGGGCTATATTCCTCCTCCCATTCACTCCATCTCCCCCTCCCTTTCTTCTTTCTCATTTTCCACTTCTTTAGTCTTCTTCCCCTTTTTCTTTTTGTCGGTTGCTTATCAGTGGGCTAGCTCTCTAATGCTCTTCCAGGAGTCTTTGGAGATCCCATCTGAAGCAGCCCTGCTTCTAAATGTTGAAAAGAGATCCTTTTGCTGTTCCCTTTGCCCCTGGTAGCAGGGCAATAATAAGGGGATAAGGAGTTTCACATGAAAACACACCTGCAGCTGGGGAGGCTGTACTCTCAGCAGCAGTGATTCTCAGCTGGGGGTTCTGTAAGATCCGTTTATGGGTGCTGTGGGTTGTGATCCAATATTAGCACTGTTAGCTGTGCAAACACCTAAGCATGATTCAAAAGTATAACCCCAGAGATTTCAAAGAGGAATCCTTAGTCAAAAACATTCTTGCCTTTGCACACAGTCTGAAAATGTAGTACACAAATATGTCCTGAAGGCCTACTGTCTTCTGACATAATCTTGTTAGACCCGAGACATGGATCAGGAGATCTAGAGAAAAGTCAGGCTGCTTGAGGCAGTTAATCCTCCTTGAATATCCCAGTGTAACATTTAGGAGCACAGAGGTACCACTCAGAGGAGACAAAAGTGTCTACAAATACCACCTGAATGTGGATAGGGCATATGGGAGAATAAGACCATCCTAATCTATGTTAAATTTTTTTTAGCTAAAGGCCTGGCACAGCTCTTAGGGTTTGGGGTATTTTTGGTGGGAGGAAAGGTTGTGGGATATGTACTGGAGGAGGCCAAGTTGTGGGAAGCTCTCCACAGGACCCTGCAGACTTGGTCAGTAAGATTCATGAAGCAACTGGAACAATAGCCCTGGGTGCCCATGGACCCCCAGAAACAAACCAAAAGAAGCTCCCAGTCAGCTGTGGGCTGGCTGCACCATCACCACACGCACCCAGAAGTGGTTGCTTCCCCAGGGGCCAGCCTACCCTGTTATATCTCTGTGCTGCATGTTTTGGAAAACCCAGATGGAGCTGCAGGAAACCAGCTGCCTCAAAGTCACTGCGCCAGCCAAAGGTAAAAACTAGGGATTAATCCAATCTTTGTGCATCTTAGTTCTATGATTGTGGAGGTTGCATGTTCTACACTAACTTTCACATCTCCACTCCTCATTCAAGGGGAGATCAAGCTTAAGAGAGAATCTGTGAGTTTCTGCCTCATAAAAAAAAAAAAGAAAAGAAACAAAATACCTTCCCCTCTCCATATTTGCATACAACAATTCAGCTGACAATATTCAGCTTTAATATTCTTCAGGTTTGAAAGTACCACATATTATACTCCAAGCCATTACTGCTACTCAGTGGGTACATCTACACATGCCGCTATGGTGACATCGTTACAGCGCTGTGATTTAGTACAGGCAGTCCTCTACTTACAACGTTTCGCGCTTACGACCTTTATAAATTGACACCCTGTTTCAACTTTATGATGTCTGTTTCAACTTACAACGCTTGATCTGATGCGATGCCATGCCAGCAAACAAGTTTGCTGTGTTGCTCATCTCCCTGGAGAACATCTGTCCAAACTTCCTTGGACACTTTCTTTAAGAAGGCAGGCACGACTCCAGAAAAACTTGCAGCCAAGACTCCTGAGAAGACTCCAGCCAAGAATCTTTC